GAGATTAGGCAGCCACTTATCTCCTGGGCTTAGATAGGCAAGCCGCCAGGCACTTGGCATCACCCTAGTCCCTGCCCCATAGACATCAGCCCTCCCCGGCAGAAGATCTCCATAGTGGGGATGATGGAGCTGGGGCTGGTCCTGCTCCATCTGGATGCGACCCTTCATTTTCTAGGATTCTGCACATTTGTGGCCAGCCTGCCGGGTCCCTAATCCAGATATTTCTTTCTAGCGATGGACACATCTAGTCACCAGAGAGAGGGTCTGGGTGACATCTGGGTGCCACAATTAGGATGAATTTCCCCCCAGGGCTCCTTGTACCCCTCCGTTTTCAGCCATCTGCCCTGTATCCTACAAGTGATGGCCTCCTGACTGCTTTTAAGCTTGCACCTTGGTGCGGTGGCGCCTTGCGCAGATAATGACACCAGGTCACAACATCCAGGCACCTTGGGTTGGCATTTATCTGCCTGGGCCAATGCCACCAAACTCAATGGGAGTCTTGCACTGACCAGGCCTTGGGACACATCATTTCTGTCTGCAGACTTTTCTCCTCCTGCCTTTCCTGACTCATTCGTCCAGGCTGTCAGGCGCGGGGGGCCTGTCTCTCGCTGTGTTTACACAGTGCTTAATACAATGGGGCCTGATCTCAGCAATTTCCAGTGTTTTAACAAGGTGGCTCCACTTCCTGGCGTATAACCCCACTTCTGGTCAGGCTCCACCACTATAACCGAATACCTCTGGGGGTGCTCCACTCCCCAGGTGCTCTATTTTGGGGACTGCTACTGCATTGTATCATCCCACCCGCACCATTTGGGCTGTAGCCCAATCCCAGGTGGATCTTGCCATGCCTGTCAGCCAAGGGGGATGGAGGCCTTCTTTTAGTTTCACCACGCTTGTGAACTAAGGCAGGTGCCAATTAAACCTCTTTGGAGGATAAGTGCATGCAGAGGGGTCCTGTTGTAATAATGGTGAATTAATTGACCAAGCTGAACAGTTTGGAAAAAGGTAGTTGTACAAGCACTGCCCTTTCTGAATCACGAACAAATGGAAATGATTTGTTCGTGATTCAGAACAGTACAAGCAACAGAAAAATGCATAAAACCTTAACCATGACTATCAATGTAAATACAATACCAACTGTTTGAAACCCAAACCTGACAGATATTGCAGGCTGGAATCTCATGCCATTTATCTTGCACCCCGTCTCTGGGAGACAGTTTTAAATTCCAAGATTACTTCAGGTGTATTAGCCAAATTCACAGCTAGATCCAGTTGTAAACCATACATCCTTGGTCTTCTTCTTAAATCTATGCAGGCCTTCAAAAATGACCACGACTGCACGCTTGGAACTGAAAATTGAGGCTCAAGTGTTGCATCAGGAACCCAAGAATTGCCAAAAGGCTCATCTTGTCTGATGCCTCTTCTCCAACCTATAACAAATGCTTCGGAAGCAGGCAAAAGCTTTGCAAATTGTGCAGCAGCACTATGCAATGCAGAGGGGATTGATTTCCGTGGGATATTATCCCTTAAAAATGTAAGGTGGCATTTATTGAAGATCCTGTCTATCCAGAAGCCGGTGCTTTTGGGAGTGTACTGCTGAAATGATTTAGAGTGGCAAGGCTGTGCTCCAACTTTCAAGCTGTTTAAAAATAAAAATATGTTTTTGGTAATGTATATATATATTTGGCACTTGTGTAAAAAAAAAAAAACACCCTTCCAACATGCTATTCAAACATAAACTACTACAACTGTCATCTTCCTGTGTTTTTGAGCCATTTTATAAGGGAAACACTGAACAACCTCCCCCTCTTCCCCGAAATAATGAAACAATAGCTCAGAGGTATGAATTGCCTCATTCATCTTAAAGGAATGCTAATGGCGTTTTAACAACATTAACTATTTTATTGCTTCTTTTCACAGAAGCAGCCCGCTCGCTTTAATGCTTATCCCAATCAGTAGAGATTTAGGGCTTGAAAAAGGTTCTGAAGTAGCTTCAAAATACACAGCACATTTCTAAGAGCAAACACATATTCTCCCTCATCAGAGCCGTCCACTTCGAGAGGCTACAACTGCTAATTGTGCAGAGAAAAAGAAACATATTACCCGAGGGTAGCTGATGACATTCCTTTCTATACTGCCATTTCATCTTTAATAGCTCACGCTTTATTTTACTCATGTATTCTTAATCCTCTTGTTGGCACATACAAGAAGGCTTCAGCCTCATTATTAGCCAGGATCTGAACATGCTGGTAGCTCCCATGAAAGAAAAATGGTGGTGGGGGAGGTAGGGGGGTGGAATCAAAAAGACATGCAGCTGCACAAATGGGCATGAGACAGATGTTGCCTGCAGAGGATTGCAAGACCAGTTCAGAGCACTGGTGATGCCTCTTACTGGGAAGGACACATCTACTCTTGGGTAGCTAAAAACAGAGCGCAAGATAAGCCCAGAAGGAAATCTAGTCCATGTCCTACAGCTCAGCACAGGAAGTTTTCTAGTAGCATATGTGTCTCGCACATTTTGAGGCTATCTTTTTGTAAACCAAAAAGACTGCTGCTTAGACTAGTAATACCCAACCGGGGTGCCATGGCACCCTGGGGTGCCTTGAGATTCTTTCAAGGGTGCTGCACAGTGTTAGTATTGTTAGATAAACACAGCTCATAAGATACACCCAGAGTTTTCACGTACAAACCCGTAGTGTTAAAAAGATTGTGACCTGTTGTGGCAATTGATTTATTATTTTTCCAAGGAGTACCTTAAATCAGTTGAGGGGTGCCCCAAATCTACTGCGAGGTGGCTGGAATTTTTACTGAGGGGTAACTCATCTAAAAAGGGTGAGGACCACTGGCTTAGAGACTTTGCCTCCTCTGCTTGCAACACCCCTAATGGCCATGTCACAGCCTGGGGGGGGGGCATTGTTTTGTAGACAAACTGAATCAAAATTATTAGCCTAAGGATGGAAAGTTAACTCTTCTATCTCAGCAGCACTGTAGTTCAGGAAAACTGGATTCTGCCAAGAGCTCCTTTCCCTGGATTACCACTGTTTTGATGAAGATGCAGTCAAGTTGTGATGCAGCATGAGACAGATGAGTCCTATATAAGATGTGGGGCTTGGCAGAATTTTCCTTAATGTATGGATCAGCATGGATCCTTACCCCAGTACTTATTTTTATGCCACTCCCCCCAAAAATGTGACTCAGGACAGATTACAGTAAAAAAAAAACCCAAACAACTTACTGTATAAAAGCTGGTAATATATTAAATGATATATAATAGAAAGTTTCCCAAACAGTCTCCCAACTTAACTTTGCTTACTAAATGTCTTCCCCAAATAAAAAGGCCATGCAGTGCTTTCCCAAGATGTTCAGGCAGGCCACATATAGACTAGGTCAAGTCTAAACAGCTGTTTAGAAGTCTCAAGTTAAAAAGAAACTAGAATGTTACTGTTATAATTAGTAATGATAATAATGACAACCAATGCAAACTTTGTTCTCATTCTGAATGGACCAAACAGGAGGTTGAATCTTGGCTTGGGTCTTGCATTTAAAATGAAACAAGTGGCACTAAGTTCTCTATGTACTGCAAAAACCTGCTAGTGGGCTGAGTTACTGACGTTTAACTTTGAATACTTTTTATGTTCAACCTACTTTGTCCAAAAAGCCTGGAGGTCCTGTTTTAAAGGCACGCTGGTAGGGGAGAAAAGCTCGTCACTTCTAGCTTTTCAATATGTTACTTCACAGTATTTGTTTTGCACAGAGTTAAAGCAACTGCTATTCCAACCTGCCTGGCAGGCTAAAAAGTGGTCAGTTTTATGAAAGTCTCTTGCTCTTCCCGGTCCAAAAGTTTAGCACATGGAGGTAGGTACACATAAGTTTCTGAGGGAAGGTGACACTTAGAAACCATCACGTGTATCCATCATTCACTCATCTTGTCCAGTAAAAAAAAGCTTATGTTAAATCAACATTTTAAGTATATCCATGGGGGAGGGGAGAAGTAGTAGTAGAAAAGAGGGTGGTTCTGGCTTTGTTAAGACACACCACACTAAACAGCAGTTTGTTTTCTCATGTAAGATTCAATCCAGCTTCAACTAAATTCAATGTGAAAAGGGCTGGCACTGACTTCAATCGGAGGTGAACCAGGGCTTTGGTCGCAACACAGGAAATGTCAACTTGGGCTCAACATCCCCTAAGCAGGAGATCAGAATAAAAAGGTGCACAAACATTGCTCAGGAAGCACTGCTTTTATGTAGCTAGGCAATACTTGTCCAAAATAAGTGGAATAATAGCCACAAAAAGGTCAATAGACTCTGAGATGCCGGCTCTCCATTTTATTTAGGATTAAAAATAATTTAGGAAAGACGTTGATTGTTGAAGTGGCAACCACTGTTACTAAAATTGAACAAAAATCCAAAAGATCTCAATAGAGAAACAGAACATTTAAAGAATGAATAATTTATTAGATTCAAACTCAAAGAATGTATCAACTATTACAGGATTACAAAAAGGCCAGTTCAGTAATGTACTCCAGAGCTTTGATGACAGGTTAATTTACATATTAACACAGAAGAACAAATAAACCAATCAGCTTGCCCATCTCAAACTTCTTAGTGTTGTTAGAAAGTTTGAAACCATGTGAAACATCACTATAGCTGTTGTACTTGGTCATTGACTTTAAATTAACAGTGATTGTTAAGTGGTAAATGTCTCATAGATTAAACACCACAGCAAAATGAAGAAGATATAAAACTAACCTATTGATCTTTGTTGCTTATGGAACACCTGCTCTGAATGATTAATATTTACTTTTCAAATATATAGGCATTCATTCCACAAAAGGTATAAAAAGTGCTACAACTTACCAACTTTCCTGGTTAAGCTTTCATGATACATAAATTAAGTGTTTATTATGTGTCCAATCCGGACGGATGCAAGCAATTTGATACAAAGATCAGGATCGTCTTGGGTGAATTTCAGAATTCAGTGCTTTCATTCTCTTTGTATTTTTAAAAAAATCCACAAAAAATATACAGCATACCTTATGGCTCAAGGCTGGTCTAAATTTATATAAAAAGTGGAGTCGATGCTCAATAAAAATGCAATCTCTGAACTGTTACAAACAGACATCATTAGAGGCATGTTTAAGAATGGACACAAACTGGGTACCACTCTCAACTGCTTGACCTTTTGGATATGTAACATATATTCAGACTGTAAACCAAAGTGCATATGGACTCGCAAATCTGAAAGCCAAACCCTCATGAGCTGAGCGTGTGGCGAGTCACTGGAGCACAGGTAGATTTTACACTCAGTTTTGTCAATCATTTGGTGCCAAGGTGCATTAAATGACCTAAAAAAGCCCAAGGCCCTCACGGGCTTCTTGTAATCTCGTTTAACCTTGACAAGGCTCCAAGTCCATTAACTGCTGGTTGATAGTTTATTTAAAAAAAAGAAATCAAAGCAATTCAGAACAACTTTGGTAACTGTCTGAGGTGTTTTACATCAAGAATGGTACCAACTGAATTCACATTGTCCCTTTGATTTAAGGTCTCAAGCATAGGAGCTTGCAGATTTTCAGAAAAGATGTGAACATCTCCTAAATTCTGCCTGCCTGGTTGTTGAGTGAATTCTATTTTCCCAGGTAAAAGTTTGGTTTTGGGCTCCAAATCCTTTTGAATGGGACGTGAATCCTCCTTTGATCGATGAAGTACTTTTGGAGGAAAGATTTCATTTGTAATATTTCTTAATACAGGACTGCATGAGTTTGTCAGAGGAGTGCTGGCTGACTCACTGTCATATGATTTTATATTAGCCGGTGATCGTTCACCAACTCTTTCAGAATGCTCTTTCCAGCCTTTAAAACCTTCCAACGCAGGCTCAACCTTTGGCTCCGACATATTTTCACTCTTGCCAACATTGATCCTGCTGTTCTGAACCTGCAGATCCTCCTCGTCATCACTGCTCTCATTGCTTTGAATGAGTCCATATCTCTTCATATACTTCTTTGTTGCAAAGGACATATTGTTTGGTGAAATTAAGCTAAGGCCCACCATGCTCTTGTCCATATTTGTATGCAAGAGGTTTTGCAAGGATGAATCTACAGGGCTTGTTTGGCTCGAGTGATTAAGGGAAAGTTGAGAGAGCTGATTTTCACTTAGATACTTGAGTGCTATCGCATTTGCTTCCATGCTGAGATCAACTACATTTGGAGTTAAGCCGCTCATACTCACATTAGCGAATGACATGTAATTAAGTCCAGGGATCACTGCTTCAGGATTTATGCAGGCTAATATGCTAAAAACACAAAGCACAATGTTAGCATTACTGTCCTTTTATATTGTGAAGCGAGTACATATTTCATTATGATTTCAGATCAGCAAATAGTGAAGACAATGTGGATTTCCCCACTCCTCCAAATTTATAGTTTCCACATCAGACTATTCCTCAGTATACATACTTTGCATAATAATAGGCACGCAGGTATTGCTAGGTAGAAAACAAATTACAGTACTCCCTGAACAATCTAAAACTGACCACCACATCTGTGAAGGGGCACGCCCAGGCAGCCTTTGGGTTTTGTAGTTTTAAACCAATAGCCCAAACATTTGTCCGGAAACCAGAGCAGCATTGGCTACCTTTTCCCCCTACCCTTTCATGTGGTTATCTAGATCATTTTTATCCAGATGAAAGATAGCCCTGCTGGTCAAATATTGTACTTTGCCATTGCATGCAAATTCCAGGAACGTAATAGGGATCTTGCCAACATATCCATTTCCAAAAGCCAAAAAAAGGGAAAAATCTTGCTAACGATTTTTTTTTAGTTACTCAGCCAGTTTTTTTGAAGAGATTTGTTTCAACATTTACTTTTCTTGATTTACTTAATTTTTCCAATCAATGCCTCAGGGCATTTCCCCCCACACATACTGAGAATGTCTGTCTGGAGAATTGCTTGAAGGAGACCGGCGCTTGCAAACTAGTGAATCTGCTACACACCACGTACTCCCAATGAGTAAATCTACAGCCCTAGTAACAAGAGATTTAAAGTGTCTATATACCCAAGTAATAAACACAAGAGCTATGAAGCCTTGCACAGACATTCAGTTTCTTCTAGGAGAAACCACGGGTGTACAGATGTCCAGGCTTTCTCCCAGAGTAAAAATGGTCACTCCAGGAGAAAAATAACCTGGGAAAAACCATAGTGAAATCATTCCCAGGAGATTCTCTTGGAAAAGTGAATGTCTGTACATGTTGTGGCTTCTCTCAGAAGACAACATAGTTCTCCAGCATCCCTCCCTTCCCCTCTAGGAGACAGTGTTGCTCACTGGACTCTGCTGCTCCAGCAGGGAGTAGAACATACCCTCTTTCACAATCCTGTCATTATGCTGCTGGGAACACAAGCTCACCATAGGCCATCTAGGTCAGTCAATCAGCAGATGCCCTGCTGCCATCTGTTGCCTGGTGTACTACGTGAGCCTGCAGACACACCAAGATGTGTGCACAAGGACCCCCTCTTCCCCACCTGCAGTGTCAGCACTACAAGCTCTCCGATCTTCATGGCCTCAGCTTTTGAAAGTCTGTACACGTAGCTCTGGGTAACTATTTTTCTGAGAAGAACATTAATATGGGAGAATTCTCCCATATTATCTGAATGTGTGTACACAACCGCAGAAGTTACCAGTAACTAGTGTATGGGGCCTTGTTTTGTTTCCTTGCTCAACTTTTCCACTGCTCAGTAGGGAATTCTGGAAAACGCTTTTAACAGCCACTAAAATGGCAGAACAAAGATCTGTTTCAGAGAATTTAAATAAAAAACCTTCCAGTTTGCCTTACAGTTCCACCCCATCAATGGAAAACATGGGCAGACCACAAACTACCCATGATACTGGAGAAAAATGTGTCTGGGATAAACAATAAGATACACAATAGAGATCACCGCAAGGTTTGGGGAAAGCACCTCCTGCAGTACAAGGCTAAGAGTTGTCCTGTTATCCCCAATAGGATAGGCTGACCTCCTCCTGTGGATAAAACCTGGCCTGGCTTGACACAACTTCTCCGATGCAGCAAGGGCACTTCACTGGCATGACAAATGTACATAAAGCTGGCTTTGATGCACCTGGGTTATCTGTTTGGTTCTCTCTTCATCTTGCCCCCCACTTCTGGACCTGTTTGCCCTCAGCCTAGACTCATGGGCTGCATCTTTCCTCACTGTCTCTACTCCCTCTATATGTCTGTGCTTTCCATGTCACTTCATAGATTAGCTGGGACAGCAAACAGACATGACATGAGGGCAAAACCAGTTCATTTCAAGCTGAAGTCTGATAACAGCTGAATTTATCCCCCGGAAATCCTGAACAACAGCAGGACTTCAAAAAAATAGCCACACACAATTAAGTGGTACTAGCTTTACGTTAATTAAAACAAATTTGTGGCAATTTTAATATTCTATACTGGAATATACAGAGTAGTAAATATCACTTTTTAGAAGACTAATGAAGGCTCTTTCTTGTGACAGCATCAAGGTTGAAGGATGCCTGAAAGTGCTTTATGAATCTGCTCTAATAGTTATGGAGTCATCCTGTACCCATAAGTATTTGGATGCAGTCAAGACTTTGCAGTGGAATTCTCTAAGAAAATATTTTAGTAGCCTCTAGTAGAAACCAAACTAAAAGGTTAGACTAAATTTGAGCTCCCTGGATTTTGTCCCTTCTGCCTCAGTCTTTGCCCATTGGGTCCTACCTGAAAACAAAGACTAGCAAAGGCCAAAGCGTTACCTGGCATTCTCCACTTTGTGCATCCTTTTCTTCATTTTGTCAGGTGATTCAATATTCACTCCAAGAGTCCTTAATTGCTTAAGGGTTGCACTAACCACACTGTCTTTATTTGCCAGACCTGGGTCAGGTTCTGAATTTGTTTTCTTTGCACCATTATTATTTTGTGATATGGTACTATTGCTGCTGACCATCTCCTCTTTCACAGAAAGGTGTTTGCTTTCTTCAGAGGAAGACTGTAAGAAACGATTGACTTGACCCTATATAGGGAAAACGGAAACAGACATTTGAAATGTGCATAGATTAATAGGGTTCCCGGGTAACTGCATCCATATCCCACAAAATACAACACAACTAAATCTGCAAATAAATTGTTCTGACAAAAGAAGCCAGATTAGACTGCTTTTGATGTGCTTCATTCATGTATATTAATGTAAACATGCAGCACTCCATTGTGTGACAATGGAAAACATTAAAATGTAAGACTGGAAATTAAGAAGGCTTATACAAAAAATTGGTAGATTTATAAACAACTGTTATTCTTAAAAAATGTTAATCTGTTTCAGTCAAAGAAGAAATGGTTTGATGGTAAAGAACAGAAGCAGTTTGCTGGGAAATATTAATTTGTGAATAGCTTAATAGCATAACTATTGCTATTAAGAACTTCATTTATTAAAACTGTATACAAAAACAAACCATTTAAGTCCAGAAGAGACTGAAGGGCAAAAAGACTATATAGGCCTTAAAAAAAACCCAAAAACCGAAAACCAAATGACAAGCTTGACCGAATCAATGCACAATACAGAAAACAGAGAAAAAAAAAAAGAAATGGATGTGACAACTGCATATAGTCTGACCATGCAAAAGCCTGAAGTTTTGACTGCATAGAGCCCACAGCAGTTCTGACAGTGATTATCCTTATTCTGGAAGTTTTAACATAAAGTATGAAAAGGCTTGTTTTTGGTTTGTTTGTTTTTTACCAATATATCCTGGTAAAACTTCTGATCCTCTGAAGGGTGACTAGGCAGTGATGGGACAGCTGGCAGCTCCTGTTCATTTGTTACCACCACGTGGTTATTAGCTCCCTCTGTTGGTCCCATCTGTAAACACATGCTAACACTTTCTCCCAACAAGGAATGTGGAGCTAATGCTGGAGAAACTGGCTCATTCCTGAGAGAGAGAAAGAGCATGCAGTTACTTATCGTGAGTTAATACTGACATTCTTGCTTTCCATTTAAAAGTGATGCAGTTATTAGTGCTTTGCCATTTAATGAAAGCAGTATGAACAGGACATGCTATTTTTTTTGTTAAACTCTTGTTTTGGGGGGAGGAATCTTACCATCGCCTCTCAAGTACTCTGGATATTAAAGACTTTGAAAAATTGGGAGCGACTGCAGAAAAGGTTCAGGGTCACAAATACAGTTGGAGGGTGGACAGTGAAAGATCAAAGAGGCTGCATGAGGTTTATCTAAAATATCAAGTGGTAACTTGATAATGGTAGGAAAATAATTCATTGCAGGCAGGGGGGTGGAGATCTGTGTAGGAAGGGGCTTTAATCTAGCAAGAGGCAGGCATTATGCCAAACATATTCATATTAAAAAAAAAAGGTACAATTTTTTAAGCCATAAATAATTAATTAGCCACTGGAAAAGCAAACTAAGAAAAAATGGTGGGTTCTCCAACTCTTCAGGCTGCCTTTCTAGAAAACATGCTTTAGTCAGAGTCTAGGGATTAGGGTTACAAAAGAGATCATACTAGCTGATCTCACAGTGCTGTCTGGCCCTAAAATGTATTTCATGTCCTGCAAAAGTCCTCAAAAATTCAACACTGTATTGCTCCATCAAAGCCTTACAGGAGGGCTGTCCAGTTAGTGGCCCACAGCAGCATACAACCCAAGAGAAGTTAAACCTGCAGCCTGTGGGGCTTGCTGGAATATCCTTACCTACTGCCAAATTTGAAGTCTTCAGTTGCCACTGGCAACTCAGATCAGCGGCAGGGGAAAAAAAGGAAGGGGGGGATGGGAGGGGTTAACAGCTGCATTAACCCCATGGGTTCTGGAGCCATTGAAACACAGCGTCTCTGGCAGCCATGATGCCAAGCCACCACCTCAGCACCGGGGGGTAGGGTAGGTTGTCTGGCCCATGGGGCCAAACTGATCAGACAGCTTTGCCTTAGAGAGTAGTATATTATATCTCTCTCTCTCAGACATGCACACACTTCAAAGTAACCAAAACATTTAATAACTTTTTACTGGAAACTAACACAAATAATTGGTGCTGCTATTTACATTTTAAGAAGAACCCATTTTGTTTCATGCACAATACAACACAATGCCATGCATTTAACCAGTTTCTACAATAAAAGGAAACAAAGTCCAAATTGAAGTATTTTACAGTTACTGATATGAACAAGAAGTTCTAAGAATTAGATTGCGAGCCTCTGCATCAGAAACGCAGCTAGGCTAGCAAGCCATCCCAAGGCACGTGGGAACCCCTGTATCGGATTGTTATCTGTGCCTCTAACAGCTGAGGGCAGAATCTGGGATGACCCCCACCATCATCCTAAAACAAACATGAGTGATAATGGAAATATCGGAACCCAACCAATCAATTGCATGTGCTGAAAGAGATAAGATTTAAATCATGCACTGTGCCAGATAGTCAATGCAGGTTATCAATTACTGTTCCAGTAGCAATTATTCTTCATTCCCAGCAAGCAACACAAACAAGCAAATCCCACTGCTATCCAGTATTCATTCTATAAGAATAAAAGTCCTAGAGACATTCCACAGGCGTATAAAGGCAAGTTAAGAGTTCCCTCTAAAGCTATACACAAGGAAGAGGCTGATTTAAGGTCATTATCCACATTCACTAAAATTGGCAAGTGGATATTGCTTCCCTAATTTGGGGGTCCCAAAACAGTTTTTATCTGTAGATTTCTTTAACTTTATTGGCTTAAAGATGAGTTGCATAATTCTGAAAAAAAGGTTGTTGCTTCTACTTGACAAGTAGTGAAAAAGTCCACAAACAAGACATTTTTAAATATTTACCGGAATACTGCTGGATTAGTTCTTTCTGCCACATGGATACTCTCTACAAAACTGGGTATGTCAACAGCGTTTAATGAGGAGGCAATGCTTGTATTACTTGCTTCTTGCTCAGTGTTAACTGAAATGCTCATATCTCCCTTAGAAATTTCAGTAGCATCTTTTTTGACTTGAGACACAGAGTCTTCTTGTCTTTCACACGGTGCATTCCAAAATAAACTAGCACCTAGCAGAGGAAAATGTATGTAGTTAGCGATCTGAACAGCCAGAAAGTCATTCACTTTCCAACATTTTGCTCTTTTAACACAAGAGGAATTAAAAGAAATAAAACTACACAAGAAATAAAGCTAATTTAGTCAGTGTGACGAAATCATCAGCAACGCTAACCGCACTTTATCATGCATCAGCAGATACATGACGAACAGATCCAAGGAGGTGATACTTCCCCTCTATGCGGCACTGGTCAGACCGCAGTTGGAGTACTGTGTCCAGTTTTGGGTGCCATAATTCAAGAAGGATGTTGATAGCCTCGAAAGGGTCTAGAAGAGGCCACTTGTATGGTTAGGGACAAGCCCTATAAGGAGAGACTGAGGGATCTGGACCTCTTCAGCCTCCGCAAGAGAAGGCTGAGAGGTGATCTTGTGGCCGTCTACAAATTCATTAGGGGATGCAGCAAGGGATCGGAGATGCTCTGTTTACCAGGGCACCTCTTGGGGTAACAAGGAACAATGGTCATAAATTGACAGAGAGCAGATTTAGGCTAGATATCAGGAAAAACTTCATGGTAAGGGTGGCCAAAATTTGGAATGGGCTTCCAAGGGAGGTGGTGCTCTCCCCTACCTTGGGGGTCTTGAAGAGAATGCTGGGCAGGCATCCAGCTGGGGTCATCCGACCCAGCACTCTTTTCTGCCTAGGCAGGGGGGTCGGGCTCGATGATCTGTTGAGGTCCCTTCCGACCCTAGCATTTATGAATCTATAAACAGATTGGGTTTTTTTTTTAAAACAATTTTAAGTCTAAATTGCAGTGCGGAATAAATCCGAGAAAGCTGTAAAAACTAACCTACTATATCAGATATTTAAACTGCATTTTAAATTTACCAAAAGAAATAGTTGGTTAATATAATTACTGATGTATATACATACATCTGAAGTCATCTGAGATTAAAAACAGGGAAATAGCCAAAGTCAGACTCTCCCCTCCAAATCAGCCACAAGCTTTCAAGTGGTCATGAGAAACAGGTACATAAATGGAACAGATTTGTCCCAATTGAGGGACAGGGAACAATATAATTGGACAAATATTAATCATTATAAAATAATACTACTTTTGGAAAGAATATTATTGGGAAAATAGAGAGGTTGTCAATGACACATTTTAGATATTCTCAATGCTGCATGGCATACTATTGCTAAAGGATCCAACATTACTGTGACTGCATCTGGGATTATATACAGGACTTCAATGAAAACATTGAAAAGGTAAATTCCAGTAACAAGCAGGCATAGCTTTCACCTCCTAGAAGTCAAGAAAAGCTATAGTCTTCCCTTGCAAACCAAAAAACAGATCCAATTTGGAGGTACTTGACTCTGATTGTATCTTGAAGAGAATGCATTCAACGCTTTTGAAATCAAGCCCAAGAAAAATCCTAGCAACATAACAAGATTCATAACTTTGTTACTGCAAAAGAATAAGGAAGTGTTACCTGTGCTCACAGCAATGCTCACGCTTTTTCTCATTTGTAAATTTGGGGATGACTGTGTTTCCATGGTGACAAATTCCACTTGCTTCTCAGACTGCAGGGTATTATTAGCTGTAACAGTTTTAGTGGAGCAGGGGTGAAGAGTCTGTGCTTCCAACAAACGTTGGATCTGTTAACAAAAGTGAGGATATTAGGTGACACTAAGTTGCTACATTTGTCTTTCATCCCTAAAGATCTGGATTCAAATCCTGTTTATGCTGTAATGGAAAAGTTTCATTGGAGAATTCTAGTTTCCAGTGCTTAGTATGACTTTTAGTGTCTCTTTTAAGCTTGGAAAAGCAGATGAATAAAAGGTCAGGGTGCTGTACAATAGTAAAATTACACAGAGAATTTGTATAAAGCTTATTTGAAGCCATTAGTGAGTACTTTTCATATAAGTCTTATTTACAACCTTTGGGAGCTTAGCTTTGCAACCAAAACAAAGCTCTTTAGAACTTGGAGTAAGGATTTTTGTTACACAAAGGTTTACTTTATATACATACACCAAAAATCCCTACTCCAAGTTTTAAAGAACCTTGTTTTTTTTATAAAGGGTCCTGGAGTAAAAGAGTATTTCATACGGTCCTTAAATTACATGATCAAGGCATTTGCAAAAAGGAGCAGAATTCAGGTTTCACAAACAATTAAAGAGTCTAGTATTTTTTATTTTTTGTTATAATTTTGATTGTCAAAAATAAATAAAATAAAATAAAATAGCAGAAAATTTAGCTTCCAATTTCTGTATTAAAAAAAGGTAATTCTGTTACATGGAACTATACCATGCCCTTCATTGTCATCATAATCATCAGGGTTTAAGTCAGGGGCGGGTAATTATTTTGGGCAGAGGGCCGCACTGAGTTTTAGCAAGCCATTGAGGGCCACATGACAGGCAGCCAGAGGCAGACAAATATTAATTTTCTACATTTTTGCGGGGCACTGTGGGCCAGATAGAATGGCCTGACAGGCTGCATTTTGCACACCGCTGGTTTAAGCCCTAAAGCCCCAGAAATGACTTACATCTCTTAAACTAAAGAACCATGTTAGGTGATGTGGGGGAAGTCTGTTATCTGAAGGAAGAAGGGGAAAGGTCACTGGTATGAAGCACCAGGTCTTACATAGCTGAAGTGGAGGGTGAGGGGAGGAAAAAAAAGGAGAAAGCCCAGCTTTATCTACCCCTTTTCCTTTGATGCTTTGTAAGCAACCTGGCTCTTTGTAAGATATATTTTCTTTTACAATTTTGGCAGATGTCAAAGTTCTCCAGAAACATGCAATCAATGCAAAGACCATGGCAACATGTTCAAAAACAAGACAGCCACATTTGAACAAAATTCAGTGGACAAGCAAAAGGTGCATTTTAGCCCCAGCACTTGTTGCTTGTTGAATTTCAACAGCCTTTTGCAAATAATGGATATTTTTGCTTGTTTAGAAAGGTCACCAATATGTTACGATCCATAAAATAGATTAATTATTGGAGGGGGCAGGCAATACAGGAAAGAATAATTTATTAGAATGCAATCTGCTTTAGCTCTTCATAGACATTTATTATAATTCCAAAGTTAATGGACTATTAGACTACGCAGTGAGCTGCCTCACCCATCTAGAAAATCCATCCATCTGCAAAACAAAAAAATCTGCTGAAAAGAATGAATAATTGCCTGTTACCTGATTGCAAATGTAAAGATCAGGGGGAAAAAAAAAACCTTATCTTTAATTTTTGTGGAGACCAGTGGCATTGCGTGTAACATAACTCGGTCCTAATTTGATATGACCCTTCCCCACCACACACACATGCACCAAAGAAGAGAGAGACAGTTGCAACTAATTTCTGTTCATCAGCGTTACTGCCAGGAAGTATTTACTAGATGAGGGAAAAATAAGAATATCCTAAACAAACCTGAGCTTGGAGTAATTTTAGTTGTCTATCTTGGTCTGCAAGAATCCTATAGGCATCAGGAGATAGTCCCATCGTTCCATGATCTGATCCCACTACAGGGGCAGGAATATGGGTGCATGGTGAATGTGAAGCACAACACGGTGGACTGCAAGGGCTTGAACAGGAAGGAAGTCTCACTCCAGGCGATAAGCTGTTATCATGAGAAGAACAAGCCCCCATTTTCCCATACCCTAGGGATATTGGGCTATTTATGGTAC